CAGCTGAGTAGAGATTCTCAACCTGTGTTAAAACCTGGTAAACTGTAGCAGCTCACCAAACACTTCAGCTGAGTAGAGATTCTCAACCTGTGTTAAAACCTGGTAAACTGTAGCAGCTCACCAAACACTTCAGTTGGTAAACTTTTGTTGACAACTTGTTAGATCCAAGTTCTTGAAATGAAAAAGATGTTCGGAACAATTTTAAAGATGAGAATATTAGAAATATAAACGTCATTACATATATATTGATTTTATGAGATCATCTATTATTCCAAAATGAAAATTAAGACAGACGCACCATTTAAACACATTCTAATTTCTAGGCTTATTAAACATAATCATACTTTTGAGTTTGTGAAACAGCAAAGAAAGGACTCAACATTTTAATTGTTTATGTAGTTCGTTTGCAGTTAAAACTATTTGAAGTAATCTTGTCTGACTTGCTTACGGAAGTAAACCCTAAGTAATAATGATAACTGCATTCTGAAATGCTTGAACCAGTTTTTCCTTTTCTGCTGTACGAACCTATGTTGTTGTACTGGTTTGGTCCTAGGAACGCGAAGACAAGCTCCCAGGCGCACGCTCGGCTGCCAGGGCAAGGTTAAATATACCCCATGCGCATGCGCACTTACACGGTCACGTATGCCTGTTTTTAATGTTCTCGTTGGTAGTTTTACGTTGTTGATAATAAATTTTCTAATTATGTACCAATTTCTGTGATCTTTGTAGTCCGCTCATGTTTTATTTTACCGTTTGAAGTAAATTTATTGGTTTCACATAATTCGTCGTTTTGTAGTGTTAACTAGTTTGGGTGTGGCTTGTCCTGCGATTAGGAAAGGAAAAAAAAAGTCTCGGTTTACATGATTTCCATTTTTGGTGTATGTGAATGGATAAAGAAGAAAGCTAACGTTGTATGAATAATAGTTCAAGTTTGTATCCATTATATTATTTAGTGGTTCAACAATATCTTATCGTCCCGTCCTTACGTGTAGAAATTAAAAACACCGACAATACTGTTAGTTAGACTATCTGTTTGATGCATTGTTACGATGAGGTGAATGCACTGTATCAAAGACTCGGGAAGAACGTGCAGTTTTCTGTTGAGTAATTAGGTACGATATGTGTCTTCGAGTTAAAACAGTTTACCATATATGTAACACACACACACACACAGTAGTTTAACGCTCGTGTGTTAATAACTTTACAGAAATATCAGATACTAGTGTTACTTGAAAATATTATTCGATATCATTGATATGTGGGTAGTCTTCCTACTTCTGTTGATATACCTAAAGTAAACAAATAATAAAAATTATGACGCCATTTTACGTTTTAATATCAACAGAATGATTTTAAACAGAGAAGTGATTTCTTTGGACATACATATTGTTAAAATTATACTAATAGAATTCATTGTCTTATTAAAGGTAAATACATGATGCTCCCTTATGTGGGTACAAAATCAATACCCCACTCAACCGGAAGTGACGTTTTTTACACGTGAAACACCGACAGGCTCTCCGAAGGAGGATTGCCCCTGACCCTCCCAGGTACAAACAAGGACCTAAATCCCGATGAAGCAAAATCACCGACAGGCTCTGTGCATACACAATAACACATTTATATACCAGTATTGAAGAAGTAGAACAATCTAAAAACAAACCGACAAATAGAAGTTTGAATACTGTAAAAATGTTTGACATTTGGTTACATCTAGGTCTTGGTCACATGTTTATACATAAATATTGTTTACCTGATGCACACATATCATGTTCATTTGGTTACATCTAGGTCTTGGTCACATGTTTATATTATTTACATGTTACACACATATCATGTTCATTTGGTTATATCTAGGTCTTGGTCACATGTTTATACATAAATATTGTTTACATGTTACACACACATCATGTTCATTTGGTTACATCTAGGTCTTGGTCACATGTTTATATTATTTACATGTTACACACATATCATGTTCATTTGGTTATATCTAGGTCTTGGTCACATGTTATACATAGATATTATTTACATGTTACACATCTCATGTCCATTTGGTTACATCTAGTTATTGGTCACACATGTTTATACACACACACACACATATATACATATATATATATTGTTTACTTCCTTTACGTATATCATGTTCATTTGGTTACATCTAGGTCTTGATCAGACGTTTATACACAAATATTGTTTACATGTTACACACACATCATGTTCATTTGTTTACATCTAGGTCTTGGTCACATGTTTATATTGTTTACATGTTACACACATATCATGTTCATTTGGTTATATCTAGGTCTTGGACACATGTTTATATTGCTTACATGTTACACACACATCATGTTCATGTGGTTACACCTAGGTCTTGGTCACATGTTTATACACAAATATTGTTTACATGTTACACACACATCACGTTCATTTGGTTACATCTAGATCTTGATCACATGTTTTTACATAAATATTGTTTACTTATTATACACATATCATGTCCATTTGGTTACATCTAGGTCTTGGTCACGTGGTTATATATATATATATATTGTTTTAAACGGTTATCTTATATTCTATTTACATATTTTTTCTTGTGGTTGTATCTTCACCTTGTTCAATACTTATATCTGATTTACGTGGTTTTACCTACACAATTCTCACGTGAATGTACCGCACTTCGTTCTCGAGGCACTATCTTATTTACGTGTTTGCACGTTCATAGTGTTCACGTTGTTGTACCTATACCTTGTTCACGTGATTATAATTGCGATTAAAAAGCCACAAATAAGATAGAAGCTCCTACAGAGGAGCTACACTTTTGTGGATTTACTTTTAAAACATTATCTTTCAATGAATATACTTTTTTTCTGTGTCTATGAACTGGGTTTGTGTCAAAGTATCTCTCAACATCCAAGAAAAATAATTTTAGTTTTCACTTCTTAATAAAACTATTTTGCACTAATTTTCAGATACATCAAGAACATTTAGAAATCAATTTGTAAATTACAGTTTATATACACTATTGCTAATCAAATGAAACTTGAAATGTTAAGAACGTAAACTTTTTTTTTCATTTGAAATTTTAAAACCTATTCAGTAACGAGAAATGGACTAGGATGTTTGTTCGCTATATATATAATAATTTATTCGTTTAATTTAAGTAGTATCACTTTTGTTCTGTAGATGGCGATAAAAACTATTGGTCGACCTCCCAGCTGGGTATAGTTTGTATCAAACCGCCATTCGTTCAGTAAATTAGTTTTCTTGTAATAAGCCTGATTAAAAGGAATTTTGAAATATATCTTTAATAATATATCAAACAGTGAAACTAAATAAAACATAGCATATCGAGATGAACTTAGAGTCAATATTGAAAAGATTATGTTGTAGGTCTATTTGCAACAGCAGAGGAATACTGTACTCATAGTCTATGATAAACAGTAGAGTCATAAGGCATTTAGCCATAACTCGTATGACAAGCGAAGAGAGAGGTGTAGGTTACGTCAGTTTTATCTTTACGAGGAATCTGTAATATAATATACATTATATTTACCATTTTGAGTGATATTTGTTGAAAATGGCAGAAGTCGATGTAATCTGCCACCGTGAGACATTTCATGTTGAGATGCTTGGATCCGTAGAAGACGCTAGCTTAGACTCCTCGTCAAGGTCAGTAGTCATTGAATCACAAGAGCCATCTAGTGGCTATGTTCATAACGACTGCGATCGACATAGTACTAGTAGCCAGAGTGATGGAAATGATTTGGAAGGAGAAAAATGTATAGATGGTCTGCAGCACAAGAAAAAGAGTCGAAGAGGTAAGTATAAACACAGAAAACGGAAATGGAAGCCTTATTACAAATTATCTTGGCAGGAAAGGCGAGAACTAGATGAACGGGAAACTATGAGAGCGAACCGAGTTCGTGAAGTTATGTTTGCTCAGGGGCAGGCTGTAGCACCGTACAATACAACACAGTTTCTCATGGACGACCATAATGTCCAAGAACCTGATTACGAACATATCAACGACGGACATCGCCACATACAACGGGAAACCAGTGGTGATTTCTCGGACGAGTTTTACAGCTCTCCAGAAGATGAGGAAGATTTCCTTCAACAGCAGTTTAGCGAGACATATGAAGATGTTCATGCGGAACGCTTAAATTCCATGACCAAAAACGATCTTGTTCAAGAATATATACAGTTAGAAGATAAAGTCGAAGAACTGGAAGTAAAGTTACGAGACGCTAAAGCCAAAGATTGTGCGCCGTCAAAAAAATCTGTAACGGATAGGGAAGTACAGACCCCGTCTACAGAGCAGTGGGAGAAAAGTAGGATTTTTGAACAAGAGATCCTGAAGCTGATGGAGGAAAACCAGCATCTGAAGAAAGAAAATAAGAAACTGAGAAGTATGGTTAGTGATAGTTCGTCGACATCGTGACAAAACTGCCAAACTCAAAACCATTTTGTCGTCATCTCACTGTTGTACAGATGTACAAAAGTTATTTCATTGTTATATTTTTGTTTCATGTTATACTTTTTATTATAAAAAACAAGATGATGAGATTTTATTCTCTGAAGACTTTAAAACATCTATTGTTTACAGATTGCATTGTAGAAGGAATGAACTTCCACTGTTAATTTGTAAATATTAAGTACTAATTAAACATTTTATTTCATTAATGTAGTTATTAGCAACTTTACTAATGTTCGTAGTCATCAACAAATGTCACTTTATCGATTCCTAGAACGGAACAAAATGCGATAATTTATTCATACTGACTGACAGAAATATGAAAATATTAATTAGTAGGCCTGAATAGAAGTATTCCAAAGAATAGATTTTTTAAAACCTAATTTGAACTGATATCGAAAACTCTTTGCCATTTCCACTAGTTCACCAGACAAAAATTAAGCTACATCTTTCAGTTATGACAGAATTAGTTGTTCTGGCATTTGTTTCAGGCCTCAACTAGAAAAAGAAGCTGGATTTTACGAGGGAAAATATCAGGAAGATACAGGTATTCTAGAATAGAAAGTAAACATTTATCTCAAACATACAAATGTTACACTTAAAAGTTGTAAAAAAATTAAGAAATGGAGAATATATACCTTGTTAATCATATTCAAAGGTATGATTTGGTTTGAGATTGTTAAATTATTTACGTGATGAAACATTGCAGTAATTTGTATTTTTGTAGTTTAAATATGGCAAAGCTCCTAAAAAAAGTCTAACTTTGAACTATTGACCAGAAAGAAGATAGCAAGTCAACAGCACCCTATCTTCCACGCTAGGGGATTGACTGTCACTCATGTAATGCTCCCTCAGCTTAAATTGCTGAAAATAATTTTGAACCCGGCTCGCCAGATACACAGTACAAAGTTCTAGTACTACAGGACCAATCCATGCCTAGCTTCATAGGTCCTAGTAGAAATTTAACTTACGTAGGTCTGCTGTTATTTAAAATTTTATTTACTTATTGTTTAATGTATAATATTTAGAAAATACTAATATGTAATATGATAATTTGGAATTTATGTGTAATATTCCTGATATATATATATATTAATTTGAACTATGGTCGAACACTTTGTTAGGGTTATCCAGTCTTAATTAATATAGGTTTGTCATTTTGGCAGCGGCGCTCAACGGTTGTAATTGTAACTATAAAATTTCAGTAAGGTATATTTTAATTTCACAAAAAATGTTTCTGAAATTGTGTAAAAATCCAGCTCAGATGGCTAGATTTTTTAAGTTTACGAACGACTTAGGCATTCAAAAATGGTAAGCTGTGTGTGAGAATATTTATTATTTTTATACAGAGAGAGAGACAACTTAATAAGCATGAATAATGAAGGTGGAAAGAGGTTAGTCAATAGTTTTTTAAACACATATCGAATCTATTTAGTTATAAAACGTACTTTAAAAAACGAATTTGTGAGCTTTATACTAAACAATAACAATAGAAATTATCAAAAAAGACATGCTTTGTTCGAGATTCAGATTTTTTGATAATTTTGCTTTGGATAAAATGCTGGGCTAGTACTTTTCCGTGTGAATAAATTCTTTTTCCGGGCTAAAGAGTTCTCCACTTTTAGCCACTAGGCGGCGCTCGGAGTGACTTCTAGTTACCAGTCAGTAATGAGAAGATATGTGTGGAATAAACAAATCACGTCCTACATAGTGTAAACACACGTTCCATATTTTATTTTACATTTCAGTAAAAGCTGAATACAATGAAAAACGAAATATTATAAAAACTACTTTCAAATGACTATTATTATTAGGCGTTAGAAATATACAGTATACAAAGCAGTTTCCCTGTGTTTGGAATAAAAGGATTTGGAAGTTGAACCAATCCATATTCACCTAACGTTCGACGCTATTGTTTCACATGTGAGAAGCAGTAACCACTAGAATACTCTAAAGGATGCTTTTAACGACACTTCTTAAAAGTTCCACACTATTCTTACATTTCACTTTTCAAAATACAGGTTACAGGTGAAACTTTGTAATTAATCAAATGAAGCTAATTTCAGTTGTTTTAAACCAACAAACTAAAAGCGTAAGGGCTCAAGAAACAAAATCAAAACTTGAGATTTCATGGAAGTTTTATTTGTTGCTTGATTAGTGAGAGCTAATCGCACTTTATAAAAACTCACGTTACAGCTCCTCAACTGTCCCCTCCATCTGATGGTGAGGATTACAAACAAATACGGCGACTTCTAAAGCCTCGTTTAAATAGAGTTAATAGACGAAAGCTACAGAAATCGATTGGAAGATTGGTTCGTTTTCATAACCATAGCCTTTGCTTTGCGAATAATCGCATTGTCCTAGTTTGGCTCCAGGTGGAGCTTGGGAATCGTTACTGTCGTAAAAGGTCTGCTGTAAGGATTTTCTATTCATTGAGGACATTGTTGAGGACTCTCTTCTTTAGTTCTGGACCCATTTTTAAACATTCTTGACAAACGAATATCCTTTCCCCGAAAAAACCGTGGCATGTTCATCAAGCCATACGGGTACCATGGCGGTATTGCAATGTCGAATGGTTGGTTACATTCACCGGAAACCACGTATTTAGGTGTTAAAGATGTAGCCACTGTTCGCTTCATCAGTTACATACTACTAAATTAGCACAACCAAATCGCTAGAGAAGATTCGATTAGCCCTCCTGTACATATATGTATCATTATTAAGTTCAATAAGCTACGTTTCTAACAGTGCTTACGTGTCAGTAAAAAACAAAGAAACTGGTTAGATGTAGCCACTGTTCGCTTCTTCAGTTACATACTACTAAATTAGCACAACCAAATCGCTAGAGAAGATTCGATTAGCCCTCCTGTACATATATGTATCATTATTAAGTTCAGTAAGCTACATTTCTAACAGTGCTTACGTGTCAGTAAAAAAAAACAAAGAAACTGGTTAGATGTAGCCATATGGAGCTTTGGAAATGTTTATAACATAAAACCAGTTATACATTTCACCTGTGTGTCTGATTTTGTTATTTATTTCAAATCGTTCCCTGTTATTGCTACTGGCAGGGGCACTAGTGAACATATATAATCACTGTAGGTGCACGAGCATCCATCATTTTAACCACTCTGTATGTCTTTAGTACAGCATATTTTACGAAGAAATAAGAAGCTCGCGTTCACTGATTTAAAATTTCTTTCAAGACTTTCTTATACACGCAAATAAAATGTCTTGTAAAGTTACACGTTGAAAATGTTCGATTAAATTTGTTTTCAGAACATGTTCAACTACAAAATATCTTGCAAAGTTTCTTGGTTGTTGTTGTTGTTTTTTTTTTGGGGGGGGAAGTACACTGTCTTTATTTTTACTATACTTATAATCTTCTTCAGTAATTAGGCTTAATCTCGTTCACTACTTCCTCGCTGTCACTCCAAAGAATATTTTATTCATTTTAAAAGTTACGGTTTGTTTGATTTATTGGTGGCGACTTAAGAATAAACAGTGAAAAAACTGATTTCTAGAATACAATATCTTACATTCCAGAGTGGAATTTTATTTTATTTGAAGTTGAACAGACGGTGACTTACCTGATCACTTTGATGAATCAGTAAAACGGTGTTTTTGTTTCTAAGGTCTTCTGGTAGAAAACAGCTAATGTCACTTTCATGGGTTATATCCGTATTTATTTATTTTATCATAACGACCTTCTGAAATCGCAGGTACATTTGACGACAATATGCAGTTTTCTACTGTTTTAGCGCCCTCACGTGGCTGCTGTTTACGTTGTAATCTGTGAAAAGGTTCCACGTGTTTTTGTGGAATGTATGATATCGGTAGAAGTATAATTATTTCGATAAGTTTAACAAAGTTACGTCACAGGATTTTACTATGATGATGTTTGATTCTAATGTATTCTGCTGGAACAGCGGTAAGTTTACGGACATACAACCATAAAATTTGGAGTTTGATTCCTCACGGTAGACACAGCAGATAGCCAAATTTGGTTTTGCTCTAAAACAAACGAACAAACTGATTTTATTATATTAATGCAAAGTTTCTCAATCACAATTAGAATGGTGATATTGATCATTTGAAGACGATACACTGAACTGGCTGTAATGTTATAACGCTACGTTCAGTTTAACACTGAACTGGCTGTAATGTTATAACGCTACGTTCAGTTTAACACTGAACTGGCTGTAAAGTTAAACACTACGTCCAGTTTAACACTGAACTGGCTGTAAAGTTAAATAATACTTTTAGTTTAACACTGAACTGGCTGTAAAGTTAAACACTACGTTTAGTTTAACACTGAACTGGCTGTAAAGTTAAACACTACGTGTAGTTTAACACTGAACTGGCTGTAAAGATATAACACTACGATACTATTGTAAAGTTAGAACACTGGTTATATTATCATTACATGACTGTGAGAAATATTAATTAGTTTCTAGAAATTTTTGAAAGTAATTCGACTAACGTGTCTGAAGTGTTACCGTAGTAACCTTCTCAACGAAGGGTTAATTTACATGTTCTCACACAGAACGAGATAAGACAGTGATAAAATATGCGAGATATTCCTCGTGCCTTAACGATTTGAGATCTACAAACAATGAAGACTTGAGATATTCTTTCTAAAAATAATTATTTAAGGGAATTCTTGTTTTCTGGCACCGAACATTGTCCTACTCCAGCTGTGCCAGATTTGACTTGTGCTGGCTTTTTGCCAAAGGAAGTCTATATTTAACTTGACAATATACGGTAAAGTATAGCAGTGCTTTTAAAAATCATGACATTAATTAATGTAAACATCAGACTGATGATTATACTATGTGGTAAAGTGTAAGAATACTTCAGTAAAAATTACCTGACCTAACTGGTGAGGTATTGGACGGTTTTATAAACTAACTGATGAGGTGATCCTCGTCATCGAATTTAACTGATGAGGTG